TTTTTTAAAATTATGACAGAAGATTATTTATTTTTTCTTCTACCAGGTGTTCTGCGAATTTATATCATTCTACGAGTGGTAGAAATAAGTATTCTACTAATTGCACAAGTTCTACATATCGCAGATTGCACATTCCACCATTTTGCTTCAGTACTACCAGTCGCAGAATGCTATTTCTTCCAATGTCTTTGTCGTCTACGCCACGCAGAATGCATATTCTACCCCTTATATCTACCTCTTTATCTATCTTTTACCAAATGGTAGAAAGTCTATTCTACCAAATTTAGTTTAAATCCTCTAAATCTAGGAGCATTAGTTATTTACTTTCCAAAAAATATTTTATTCGGTAATTACTTTCCAAAAAAACGTAGACTTTTTCGGGAAAAACATATTTGATTTTTTTGTCAAATGTTTTTGTAGTGTTTTGGAAAAAACACATTTTAAAACACGTTTTCATTTTTTTTAATTCAATGGAAAACTTATATGAATATAATTTTTTAGTTTGCTTCATTTTTATCTATTTTTATTTTTTGTTTTTATTTTTTTAATTTTTATCTGTTTTTTATTTTTTGTTCATATCCCAATTTTAATTTTTTATTTTATATATGTAAAAAAGAAATTTCCAAAAATGAATAATCTATTTTTCTTTCAATTTCGTAAAAACAAATATATATTTCGAAAATATTGTAAAGAAAATATTTTTATTCAATTTGAAGGTTAAAATTGGGATATGAAAATAGCAAAGGTTATTAGGACAATAAATCATAGGTAGAAGGTTGATTTACAAAACACTAATTCAAACTGAGTCATTTTAGCAAATTTCCAAAAAAAAAAAACATAGTTACTATCACAACATACAAATTTTGAAAGAAAAAGTGATATGCTGGTAAATATATATTTAAAAAAAAAAAATCAAAATTTGATTATTTCACCAAGTGAATTCTTCTCTATGTTAAAATTGGGATATGAAAATAGCAAAGGTTATTAGGACAATAAATCATAGGTAGAAGGTTGATTTACAAAACACTAATTCAAACTGAGTCATTTTAGCAAATTTCCAAAAAAAAAAAACATAGTTACTATCACAACATACAAATTTTGAAAGAAAAAGTGATATGCTGGTAAATATATATTTAAAAAAAAAAAATCAAAATTTGATTATTTCACCAAGTGAATTCTTCTCTATGTTAAAAACTCATTAATATTGTAACAAAATCCGAAAAATATATAA